ATACTGCGGGGAGCAAATTTATTGGGAAGTTTTTGACGAACATAACAAAGACACCCAAACACCCGAAGATGGCTAAGATCACAAGGTTTAGATGAAAGAATTTCAAGAGGAGACTTACCACCCAAGAGAGACGTGGGAAGACGATTAATGAGATAGACTGCAGTTTTGACACATTCTCCCCAGAATTCCAGCGGTAGAGATGCTTGGAACATGAGGGCACGCGCCACATTGAGAATATGACGGTGCTTCCTTTTCACACGGCCATTCTGCTGAGGGGTACCTACACAAGAAGTTTGTATCTGGACACCCATGTGATCATAATATTCAAGAAGTGGTTTATTGAGGAACTCAGTACCATTATCTGAACGAACAACTTTTATTGTTTTCTCATACTGGGTAGCAATCATAGCAAAGAAACGTTTCAAACACGAGGTGACCTCACTTTTAACTTTAATAAGGTACACCCACACAGCACGAGAATGATCATCAACGATTGTTAAAAAATAATGAGCCCCCGTAGCTAAACAAGCGGAATATGGTCCCCAGAGATCACAATGAATTAAATCAAACACAGAATTGGCTTTATTTAAACTTGTAGGAAACGAAGATCGAGTCTGTTTGGACATAAAACAAATATCACACGTTTGCAACTTCTGTAAATTAGAAGTGCTATTATTGGGACTAACAAATGACATAACTTTGGGCGAGGGATGACCCAAGCGCTGATGTAAAAGAAAGGAATCAACGGTAGAAGCATGAACTTGAGGCACAGAACCGCAAAACACATAGACTCCGTTACGCAATTCACCCCGTCCAATCTCCATTTTCGACAAACGGTCCTGTATTACACAAAAAAGTTCATTAAAAATTACATGACAAATATTATCACGAATAAGACAACCCACAGAAATTAAATGGCAATGCAGATTTGGCACAAGCAAAACACCCGATAGCACCAGATTTGGAGAGAGCCGTACGCTCCCTTGTTGATGTGCGTTAACCCGAGACCCATCGGGTAAGATAATTCCACACGGTGGAATAGTAACGAGATCAAACAGGTGAGTCTTATCACCAGTCATGTGATGAGATGCTCCACTATCAATTAACCATTCAGAAGAACAAGAAGTCATACCATTGTACTGTTGAGACGAGGAAGACTCAAGCAAAGACATTAGCTTTGCCATCTGATCACTAAGATGACTCGAAGGCTCTGTATTCGCAGCATACGCACCTGCCGAGTGGCCAAATACTACCCCCGGGGTACTGCCGTAGGACCCACTGCCTAGGCGAGCAGTCCCTGCCTTCTGGGTGTCGCCGTAGGAGGTGCTGCCAGGACGGGCAGTCCCTCTGCCACCATCCCAACCAGAGGAGGGGTTCCCCCGACCGCCACCACGGCCACCCCTACCTCGCTGCGTTGTACCGCGGCCTCCACCACGACCATAGTGTTCTGGAAACCCAATTATCTCAAAGCATTTGTCGACAGTGTGGTTGGTACGCCCACAATGTGTGCATGATAAATTTCCCGGTCCACGTCGAGCAGCGAACGCCACACCATCCGTTCTATCATCGCGTGAGCGGATAATAGTGCGGTGGCGCTCTTCCTGTGTGATGATGTAGAATGCCCGGTCTAAATCAGGAATTGGCTCACTACCAATAATTTGTGAACGAGCATGCCTGTACTGTTCATCATCGAGACCCAACAAAAAATCCATCGTCTTCTCACGTTCAACACGAGCCCGTGCAATTTCGGCAGCGGGACACACACAACCTCCAGTTGGGTCTTCACTTCCATTTAGTTGATTCCAAAGAGTTATAAACTGATTGTAGTAAGCGAACACACTCTGGCCCTTTTGACGTAACCCATGCAACTCGCACTTCAATTGATACATACGAGGACCATTGGAGCCACCATAGCGTTTCTTAAGATCATTCCACAAGTCAAACGCGAGAGTATGATTGATTATGCTCCGTTGTATGGACTCATCCACGCTGTTACAAATCCAACTACAAATAATGGAGTGATTAGACTCCCACGCGACAAGCTCGGCCTCATCTTT